CCCACACACACCCCTGGCCCATGCCTGGGTGTGAGGCAATGCTGCGGTCAGTGCATGTGGAGGAAGGAAGCCCAAGGGTCAAACTGGACAGAGCCAATGAGGGACCCCTGGTTGCCCCTGTGGGCTAATGGAGGAAGCTGCAGTTTGGGGGTGAAGGTTGATGGGGCGGTGGAAGGAGGAGGCTCTCAGCTCCTTCCCTCATCATGGCTCCATTCCAAGGTGATTTCTCCACTTCTTGGATGGAGAAGAGCCTGCCCCATCATCCACCACCCCAGGATGAATATACAGGCATGAAGGTAGCCACTCTCATCTGTGGAACAGTCCCAGAGCATGAAAAAGTTCCTTCTTTGGATTATACCTCCCTGAATCTCCTGCCCTAGAGGGGCAAGAAACAACTATTTTGATATGTGGAATAGTCCCAGAGCAAAGAAAAGTTCCTTTTTCAGATCAGAGTTCTTGGAATGCCCTGGTCACTGGGGAGTGGTGGATTCTGGGAGGTGTGATCCAAAACGGTACTACTTCCAAGGTCAGAATAAAGCATAGAGTGAAGTGTGCTCTCCCATTCAGCTCTGCCATGCTTTGTTCTGAAGGCCTAAATCTCCAGAATTGCAAGGTTAAAGGTCTGGAAACCAAGCTCTTAGGGAGATGGACATGTTCAGCTTGGAGATGGGAAAATGCAGAGAAGGTGTGAGCACCCTCTCCAGATACCTGAAGGCAAGGGGTGAACTTACTTACTACTGCTCCAGAAGGTAGGACCCAAAGCAATGGATTCAAAAGACAGAAAGGGCAATTCTGACTAAACCTTAGGTCCAAATGCATCTGAGGAAGTAGACTTAAGTCTACGAAAGCTCCTCATGCTGCCAACGTCTTTCTTTCAGTTAGTCTCAAAGGTACTACAAGATCTCTCTCCATATTGATTCTACAGACTAACACGGCTATATCTTTGAACTAAACCTTTGGAAGAACCTCTTGATGGCAAGAGTTGTTTGATGGTAGAACAGAAGACCACAGAAAGTGGTGGATTCTCCTTCGCTGCACATTTTTACACAGAGGCCAGGTGGCCGCTTCTCAGGAGTGCCTCAGGGACAGCGGTGCTTCTGCACCGGCAGAATAAGGCTGGACTGGATGACCCTTGGGGACCCTCCCAGCTCTAAGATACTCCGTCCCGACCAAAGGGCAGCAAGAGGTGAGCCCAGAAAAAACAGACCCTTGCCTTGCGGGATTACATGGCTGAGTCATTCACAACACTTTCAGGCAGCAAAGAAGGAGAAAAAGGAGAAGAAGAAGCAGAAGAGAGGTGGAAGGGTGTGATCTTATCAGGGCGGAAGAGCTAAAAATAACCCCTGGGGCTGGCCTGGCCTGGTCTGGGAGGGAGGGGGAGAGGAAGTGAGTTCAGAGATTTGGGGCTGGCTGGGACTTGCTGTGGTTTGAGAAAACTTCAGCACCCATGAGGCTGCACAAGGGAGCAGAGCAAGGTTGGTGGCGGAAGAGAGGAAGCCATGGCCATGCCCTCATTTGGAAGATGGCCTCCGCCTCTTGGATCCCTTCCTTCAAGACACAACTTTTCCCATCGCATCCTTGACAGAACCCCATAGCCCTATTGCAACCTTCCCACAACAGACCCCTGCCCTAACTAGCGTTGCTGGGCAACAAGAGTCCCATCGTCCCCACCCAGCATGGTGGGACTTGTAGTCCAACACATTCAGGATGTGCGGGCACATTGGGGGAGTCTACCCTGCTTTAAGAGTCTCTAAGCCGCCTTGAGTCCCTGTACCAGGAGGAAGGTGGCATAATAATAATAATAATAATAATAATAATAATAATAATAATAATAGAATAATAAAAGAGCCAGCATGGTATCGTGGTTTGAGCATTGGACTATAACTCTGGAGACCAGGGTTCAATTCCCAGCTCAGCCATGAAACCCATTGGGTGGCCTTGAGCAAGTCACACTCTCTCGGCCTTGGGAAGGCAATGGCAAACCTCCTCTGAACAACTCTTGCCAGAAAAACTCCATGATAGGTTCACCTTAGGGTCACCATAAGTAAGAAATGACTTGAAAGCACACAACAACAACAACAACAAGAGGAAGCCCTGTTCTAAATGAGCTTATAATTAAACCCAAGCGCATGATTTGAATGCAGCCACATCTTCTCTCCCTGTTTTCCACCTCTTCTCCCCTGGCAGCCTCCCTCTCTCTCACTTTCCTTTGCTGCTTCCCCCATGATGAATTTTAGATTGTAAGCTTCCTGGGGCAAGGACTTGTCTTCTTAAAAGTCTATTATTTGCATTGCATTGCAGCACTGTATCCAGGTAAGACCCAGGTGAGCCCTGTTCTGGAACTAAACTCAAGACACAAGGAAAGAGAGCAGGCTATATAATTTTTTAATTGCATTAAAATATTTATATCCTGCCTATATCCAAGGGCCTCAGGGTTGCGTGAAATAAAATAATTTCAAACAATTTAAAATTTAAAGCAGTAGAAAAAAAATTAGTCTCAAAGCTGATTAATCTGTACAGGGCGATTCAAAAAGAATGGTGCAAACCCCAATGAGAACAGCTTTACTTTTGCACTATTCTTTTTGAATCACTTTAGCAATTAGCAATTTAAAGCCTGTTTTAAACGTTAAACCCATGTACATGAAGAAATTGTATAAAAGCATTAGAGCCCCAAAGGCTTTAAGAAAAAGCCACGTCTTCAGCTGGTGCTGAAAGGAAGCCAAGGCAGGTAGGTAGGTGCCAGGTGGGTCTGAAAGGAGAGGGCCCACCAGATGCACAGTCCATCCGTGCAACTGGAAACGCTGGTTTTTCAAGCCACTGCATCCCATAGAAATATCCCACATACACCAGAGACTCTTGTCTATTTAGACTATTGAGAAACAAGCAAGGATGGATGCTCAGGGCTCTTCTTTGTCTTTACCCCTTCCTTTCCTGAGTCCCATGCACTCAGCATGCAAGAAGCCAAAGGGCTCCCTGTTCCTTTGAGTGGCTGCCAAAAAGGAAGCAACTCCCCTTTTTCCTCCTGGGCTCTCTGCACCTTCTGCCAATCTCCTTCCTGAGGCCCTGATCCGTATTATAAGTGGCTCCCATTCCAAACTGGAGCGGTTTCTGTCTTCTGCTTGCAGCTCGCCTAGTAAGTCACTGCTGGTGATTCTCAGCCGGGAATGCCGTTCCAAGCCCTCTGCTTCCCAAGCTGTTCATTCTCTCACCCAAAAAACTTCCTTGTTATTTTTTAAAACTGTTGTTGTTGTGTGCCTTCACGTAGTCTCTGGCTTACAGCAACCCTAAAGTGGAATTATCACAGGGTTTTCTTAGCAAGATTTGTTCAGAAGGGGTTTGCACCATGGCCTTCCTCTGAGGCTGAGAGTGTGACTTGCCAAGGTCACCCAATGGGTTTTGAAGGCTGAGCGGGGATCTGAACCCTGGTCTCCAGAGTTATATAGATTTGGGCAAAGAACAATTTGTTGGGAGGGAAGGAGAGAAAGAAACTGGGACCATTTGCTTTCCAAATATCTGCACAGCAGTGAAGACATCAGGAGCTCCCATCTGGCTCAAACCCACTTTGTGAGCTGCCTGGACCCATTTGTAGCAGAACACTTTTGTATGCCTTCAGTTTATGCCTTGTCTGCAATTATGCATGCATATGTATTGCTCTCCCTGTGCTTTTTAAACAGCCTCTGAAGAAAGCCATCACAATATTTATTGGCCAAAATGTATTGGGCTAATGTGAAGAATAAAACCATTAAAAAAAAGTACATCCTAAGACTCAGGCCCTCTTTTATCCTTAACTTGCTAAAAACAAAAACAAAACAAGCATCTTGTTGGTCAGGATTTCCAGTCAAAAGCCACCCACATCTCTTTGAGTTGATCTCCCATTGCCATGAATGCCAATTCCAAAATTTCTCAAGTGAAAACCAGGAGACATGTGGCCAAGCAGCATCAGAGCATGGTCAAGATGGCAGGAGATATTAATAAGGAAGAACAGAGAAGCCAGGAGAGGAGATGGCCATTTGCGTTTGCCGGAGTCTCCTAGGAAAGGAAAGCCTCTTCCTCCTCCTCTCAACTCTACCTTTTGCACTTTGGACTTAGTCTGCAGTGACTGAAGTAAGCTTGAAATGGGGAGGAAGAGGAGGAGGAGAGAGAAACTGGGACATTTTAAAGGCAGATGAAAAGGTGGGGTGGCAGAGGGAGAATTGGGACTGTCCCTGCCAAGGCAAGAGGACAGTGGGAGGGTACGCACCTTGACCTGCTAGTTTGGGCATCCGAACACCCCCAGGACACACAAAATGCCCTTTGCTACTCATCATTCCTGAAACTTTTATGATCCAGAAGGGAGAAAGCGGAGGGGGAAAGGGAACCGGAGTCCCTGGCCCTTCCACATTCAAGCCCATTACAACAATGTGGAGCTGATTTTTGAAAGGAGCCAGAGAGAGACAGCAGCAGGCAAACAGGCGAAGAGTCGAACAGGCGGAGGGTGGGGTGTTCATCTCCCGCCTGTCACAAAACAGCCAAATGCCTAATAAGCCTTATTTATCGCCAGCCTGGCTCGCTCCTTCCATCTGCATAATGAACCGCTTCCTACAAACCTTCCAGCAGCACAATGAAGCCCATGACAAGGAGGCCTTCCATGGCTGGCTAATTGCAGCAGGCAGCAGGCAGCGCAGGGGCTGGATGGATGGATGGATGGCAACCTGCAGGAGAAGGTGGAGGTCCAGAAGGGAGGGAATGGCCACCTGAAACACCTGGGGATAAGCCTTATGGCCTGGGAACAGGGCCAGAATCCCACCATAGCCAGAAAGGCTCCTCTGGGTTAGGATGCTGCAGTGAGATTCAGAGCTCTCATTGGGACTGGTTTCCAATTCACTTCCCCATCGTGAACAAGGTGGGTCTGCTTTGGACTTGGAGGGGGGTGCCCCCTTCAGCCCCACTCCCACGGTTCAAGTTCTGATGGACCAAGAGCAAGGCTGGGGGCTCTCACCACTTCTGTGGGGCAGACTCTAACTCGGGCTTTAAAGGAGGCTGCAAACCTCATAGGCCGCAAATAGGTTCAGCACCTTGGATAGTTCCCTGAAAGCTAGCCCAGCCCTGGCACGGCTTCATGCCCAGCAGACATGGCAGGCCTCAGTGCCCAGGTCCGGCTGGTCTCCTTTCCTGCTCT